GAAGAGTTATACTAAATTTAGCATCCTAACCAGCCAGTTGGCATATATGCGATGAAAGATTTAAAAAGAAAGAAATTTAACCCGCAGGGACAGAAGAAGCAGGTGGCTGAAAAGAGGACTATGAACAGACTAATGCTTTTTTTTTTTTTTTTTTTTTAAGAAGGTGCTCCAGGAATAAAACCCACGGTGGTTGTGCGGACGTGTGAGTCTCATAATTGTTATTCGTGGGAGGTTCGGGTTGGCTGGACCCCGAGCTCCCCATTAGGAGGAATTCTGTCCTTCAGGTCGCCCTCCCCTGTTCTGAGCACACCCTGCCTGCCTTACATGAAGGGCTAAGTAGATGCGTTCACTGGACAGAAGCTTCTAGACTTGTAGATGAGCATGCGTCGGCTTGCCCGCACGGGCTCCCGGGTTGTGTCTCTGATGAAAGGCTCCCGTTGAGGCTGGTGGACCCTGGTGCTCCTTCTGTCTCTACGTCATCTTTCTATCTTACCCTGTGGGTGCTGTTCGCTGCTGCTGAGCTCCAGGGATACTGGGGTTTTTTGTTGTTGTCGTTGTTGTGTTTTATAAGCTGCTCCCAAACCAGGCACGTACAGCCGAGGTAAAGCATGGGAAGTCCCCACCCGCGTCCTCCGGGGAGGAGGGGCTGCGCGGCTTGCCTGGGGCCCGGCGGGGAGCCTGGGGTCCCAGACAGAGGCGTTCCAGCCGGCACGGCTTCAGGGTCACACGGCACTTCAGCCAAAGGACACAAAGGACTCCAAACTGCATTAAATCACACGCGGGGGACACTGACACTGGGAGTTACGCTTATAGACAGACACCTGCCGTATCTTCCTCAGCATCCTGAGTAGTAGGCAGACTAAGCAGACGAGGAAACACTGAGACCAGACACTTACTGCCCAAGGGACGGGTGTGGGAAGCCAGGAGCTCCTTCTATAGCATTTTGTTTTGATTTCTTTCATTTTAATTTTCTCCACTTGGTGGATCTTAGGGCTAGATGTTAATTTCCACCACTTTATTTTTAGGTCTTCCTTTAATGTTGCATTGTTGACACCATTGTATACAAATAAATGATATACCTGAAGGGCAATCTTGTTGGGTTTTCCTTAAGATTTCAGTTGAATTCAAGTGATTGTCTTTGATGACATTTACCTCCCCTGCCGTTCTTGGACTTTTTAAGATAGAGTCACCATTGCTTTAAAAACAAAACACACACACACACACACAACTCCTGTCATTTACCAAGTATCGATGGCACTTGGGAAATAATAGCTCTATTATCAACTAAAAGATGTTTCTTCAGTCATACGATTCTTTGCCCTAGAAAACAGAAGCAGAGGTGTAGGTAAACATAGCAGGGATGTGCTCCAGGTACCAGCATGGAAAGAATCACACACTAACAAGGCAGGTGAGTCTGAAGTCTATAAGGAAAATGAAGCAAAGCTGGACGGTTAGCTGGTGGAAGAGACCACCACCCACCTCGAACCTGCTGCCTGGCCTGTGGTGGGTTCCCACGGAGTATGTATTTTAATGTTGTTTTTTTTTTTTTTAATTATTTCTGAGAGAGAGACAGACAGAGAGAGAGAGAGAGAATGTGAGCAGGGGAGGGTCAGAGAGACAGGGAGACACAGAATCCAAAGCAGGCTCCAGGCTCTGAGCTGTCAGCACAGAGTCCGACGTGGGGCTCGAAGCCACGAACCGTGAGATCATGACCTGAGCCAAAGTTGGACGCTTAACCGACTGAGCCACCCAGGCGCCCCTGTATGTATTTTAAATTTTATTTTGAGCGAGTGTGCACACGTGCGTGTGAGCGGGGTAGGGACAGAGAGAGAGAGAGTCTGAGAGAGAGAGAGAGAGAGAGAGAGAGAGAGAGAGAGGATCTCAAGCAGGCTCCACACTCAGCAGAGTCCGACGCGGCTCCATCCCAGGATCAGTGAGATCATGACCTGAGTGGAAGTCAAGAGTCAGACGCTCAACTGACTGAGCCACCCAGGTGCCCCTCCTCTGAGGTATTTAAATAGAAGTTGGGGGCCTGCTTGCAGGGACCTGAAAATGTGTGTCAATAAAGAAAAAAAGATCCACTTAACAATTATGAATAAAATGCTGAAAAATACAAGAGCACAGCTCCTGGTTTTACCGGCGTGCATCCATTATCAGTTAGGGCGTCTGTTTGAATTTTCTTACCACACGGGGAAGGGGTGGGGAGCAGCCAGGCCCCGAGCCCCCTGTGGGGTCTTGTTGGAGGGGGTGGGTGGATGGTCAAGGGCAGCCCCAAGTGGGCGGGGTGCGACTGTGAACCGATGGAGGGCTTCAGAGCTTCGCCCCAGGGATGCCAGGATAAGAGCAGTTTACATCAAGGCACTTTTGTCCGGCAGAAAGGCTGGCGGCTGTACTTCAAGTCGTGCTGAAGTTAAAAGTGACCTTGAACGCGCGGGAGTCCCACCCTCGCCCTTTGCAGGTGAGGCGGCTGCACGCAGAACGCAATGAAAGACCAAGGAGGCGTCTCAGTGGCAGAAACACAGCCGCAAGCGAGGGCTCCCCTTTCCCGCATTTAACACACACATCGGCCATCTATGGTGATGGGTTATTATTATCGGGTATTATTGTTTCCCATATGCTGTGTCCTTCTATAGATGGGCATTCTTTTCACGAGGGTGTTGGTTGTTACTTAAGATATAATTAACTTCACATCAAGAATTGTTTTTAAGAGATTAGGTTAATGTCTCACAGCATAAAGATTTTGCGTGGCACGCGCCCTTTGCTTCTGGGGCACGGTTTAATCACTAAAAATTTGATTCATCTTCCTGGCGTGCTATGTTTTATTATAAATAAACAGAGCATTTTCAGATCCTCTCCATCACTGATGCAAACTACACTACCTAGAAAAATCAGTACGATAGGCAAGACTCTTCCATTTCAATGCTGAACATTTGCCTTCAAGGAGCGCCTGGGGGGTTCAGTCGGTTAAGCCTTCAAATTCTGCTCAGGTCAAGATCTCCGGGTTCGTGGGGTCGAGCCCCAGGTCGGGCTCTGTGCTGACAGCTCAGAGCCTGGAAGCTGCTTCGGATTCTGGGTCTCCTCTCTCTGCCCCTCTGGCACTCATGCTCTGTCTCTCTCAGGAATAAACATCAACAAACAAAAAGGAAATCTGCCTTCAGTACGTCTATAGCGTGAATACCAGACATAAGCCCAAATCAACTGGACACAAAAAGCAGTGGGACACACAGCGTCGTGTCCTTGGCACAACAGTAGCAATCGTGTCTCCTTTGGAAGACCTATTTGCTACCGAAGGAAAGGGCAGGGCGATCATCCTTTTATTACACACTTTAGAGAAATGACTTTTCCTTCTCTGGGTTGTTTTTTAACTTTCACTGGTTCTTCTCTAGATTGGGTTCAGAGACTGACAGCAAGGTGCACAGCAGTCACCTAGTGACTGGTAGTTTGATTTTTTTTCGCATTTCCACTGTGCACCTTTATCACAGTGTTCCCAGTGTACCCAAAAGGAACGTGATGACAGAAGAGTGGAATGGAATGGTGGCGGGTGCGGAGAGCACAGCGACCCAGGGCAGGGACTTCACAGCAGCCTGCCTACCTTTCAGACAGAGCTAAGAGCATCTGACTGTGACAACCCCCGGGAGACGTTTCTGTAAGTGTCCTTCTCCCCAGCTGAAAAGAATAACAAGTGGCTGCATATTACTTCCCAGTGGAGTTTGGCTTGCCCAGTTTGGGAAACACAGTTTCAAAAAGAGGGTGGAAAGAATGACGCGGCGTATTTGGTAACTTAAGTTGCAATCTTACAAAGGCCACGATGTAAGTTGCAAATGCAAGACTTGGCGGTTGTTCTTTCATTTTAGCCAGACTGCTCATTAGTGACACTGGTATGTAGGGTGTAACTTTCTGCTTAGTCACTTGGCTGTAAATTGTGCTCTGGAACTTGGATTTGCGGCGAAGGCGGCATAAAATGACCGAGTGGATGGGACTATTATTCTAGCCCCACCTGAAATTGTGGGCTCCTGGGGAATCTGGAGGGGGGGGAGGGGGAAGGAAAGCTGCCTTTCATGAGATCCTCTTGGAGGGGTGGGGTGGGGCGGGGCTTTGAAACATGGGAATCCTTCCCTTGGCTGGGGCTGTGATCGGCAAGACTGTCTAGAGCCCTTGGCTCCTCTGTGCTGGGGCCGTGGTCATCCTGCTCACCTCCCTCCTGAGGTGAGGAGGAGCCGCAGCCTGAGATCTGAGCACTTTCGGGCAACTAGGAGCTGCTTCGGCCCTGACTGCTGCTATGCCCTCACACCTGCAAGTGAGGCTATCTCCCCAGGGGGTGGGGAGTGCCCATGCGTCTCAAGACCTGCAAAACCCCAGGAGCAGAGACAGCCCCAACCGCGCAGGCACCCCCAATCTTCCCCAGGGAGGCCAGCATTGAAAATGCGGTTACAGTAACCACCGGCCTCTGGCTTGCTTTAGTCTGGTGTCACCAAACACGATTTCATCGGCATTACCATTTTACAAGGAACACTGGACTTTTTCCTTCCTCCCGCGAGGGAAAACGAAGGCTTCGATAGCAAACCGCTTTGCTCGAGTGGATCTCAATCGATCTGGAATCAGGCGTTGAGATAACTAGAGTTCATTTTCCTCCTTTTTCTCTGGCCACTAAATTAGGCGGCTCCTGGAGACTGGGTGATCCAGGGGCAGCTAGAGAGGTTTTCGGATCCTCTTTTCGTGAGGGCTTTATGTGAAACTTTAGGATAAAATAGGATTTGTGAGCTGTGAGTTCGAGTTTCATGGGGAAACCAAGGGGCTCCCTCACGGCCCTTTGCGAGATCCGCATTCACATTACGTGCACGTCCTGATTTGAAAACGGGGCACACAGGCGCCCACGGGCAGAAGGCTCTGGACAACTGTAATTACAGAGAAACAGAGTGGAAAGCAAATTAAAAAAACAAGCGAAAACAGAAAGAAAAAAGAAAAGAAAAAAGAAGGAAAGGAAAATACTTTGAAGGCGCTTTTTCCATAGGAAAAAAATATTTTATTTTTTTAAGAACAAATTCAGTTTGAAACAGACGTGGAATGGGACCTCACGGACTGCGGTTCCGGGGGGCTGACTGCGATGTGGAAGGAAGGAAAGCAGACTGAAAACCTAGGACAGGCTATTAAAATAAAATGAAGAAAGAAAAAAAATATTTATAACTCAAGCATAATACTGTGTTACTTACAAATTGGACAACGAAATCTTAAATAAATATCCATGGTACATAATTACGGCACAAATATGCAGCAATTTGGCAAACCTTTTATACCATTTCTTTTTCCTCATTACAGTGCAAAGGGGGAAGACACTGCCGTTTAACACGCTGTAGCTAAATACATTGCAAAATTCAGATTTTATACAAAACATCTTGCTTAGACTTTATAAAAAACCAACATTGCTCTATGTACACAATCTGGGTAAGAAAAGCCATTTCTGTCTTGTTTTCATGTGTATTTTTATTAAAAAGGTGAATAAGGCTACTGTAACATCCCAAATCCATATACAGTAAAATCTGAACCTATTTACAGCATCTTCACTTAAACGTTTATGGTGCAAATTCCAAAGTCAGGTGACTAGGGATGATATTACAAGCAAGGCATTTACAGTAACTTTTTCCAAAGCTGAACCAACTTCAAATAAAGGGACAGTTGGTAGATTGTCATATTCTGCACCAGACACAAAACAGACGCACAGAACACTTTTCAATTGGTTGCAGGTAACTCTTCATCAAATTCATCTGGTTTTTTCACAGTTTAGCATATAACCAAAATCTAGCCAACCGAGGAGACACACATTTGATTTCATTAAAATCAGACTATTTCCCATTTTTCCCCTTCTTGCCCCTCTCCCCCATCCTAAAGGTAATTGTTGATGGCTTACAAGAAAATCTTGCACGAATGCACGTAAAGGAGAGGGTGGGGTGATGGAAAGAATTACATATGTACTGTGGCCGGTCACCATGGCAACCGTCCACAGAAATATGATATAGATATATATAATATATATTGTAGATATATATTATACATATATGTACACATGTATACCACTCACCCACTCACACATACACACACGCACTTTGGACCAACATCATTTTCAGGTTCAGGAAATAGAGAGGGAATGATTTCCGTGACAATTCATTTTTGCAGGTACTCACTGGAGGTCTGAGAACCTTAAAATGCTGTTGCTACATTTTTTTTTCTCCCAATTCAGAAAGCAAAGTGTTACCATAGTAACAGGACTATGTTAAAGATGTCTATTTTGCATAGCACATAAAAAGTAGGTTTCCTGTTTACTCGTTTTTGTTTCCCAAAAGGGAGGGGGCAGGGAGGGGATGGGGGCCGGCGCTCAACTTGCAGCCCCGAGCCCCCTCCGGGGGGACCCGGTAGATTTTAGGAACACTTCAGCCATAAGGCAAGGGAAAACACAACACAGAAACGAAATGCCGGAACATCTTGCCACTGTTAAGTATACGGTGCGGTAACATCCATTTCCTGGTTTGTGGGGCTTGCATTTCCTAGTCTAGGCTTACGTGAGATGCCTTCGGAGGACTGGGCTATTTCTGTATTTACTCCCCTTGTTATTTTTGGAGCGAGGCTGTTTTTCCCAGATGTAGCTGTCCCATTTTTCTTTCTTCGGCACTGGGCGTTGGGGCCGTGTGATTGCCACCAGTGAATTTCCCATCTCTCCGGTGTGGTTTGTGTGCAATCGTAACGTATATATTAGTACAAATCTTTCGGTTTCTATCCCGGGTGTTCTACAGACCTGTCACAGACGCGCCACCTTCCTTCTCCCCTCGACATCACCGTTTCTTTCCGTCTTAAGGACTCAAAGCGGCTCGCACTAGGCTTCCCCCGACACGGCGCCTCGCTCAGTACCTGCAGCCACAGCGTCGTGAGGCTCAAGGGGGGGCGGGGGGGGGGGGACGACGGGGACTCTGACCTTCCTTTCTTACGGGAGAACCGCCTCACTGGCTGGCGATGGAGTTACAGCCTGGCTGACCTCGGCCTTCCTCCGCTAACGCTTTCCCTGTTTCATAAAATGTGATCAGTGTAGCAGCGCAGTCGGCCCGAAACGCCCTCCAGAGGGACGACCCTCCCGCGGCGCCGCCGGCCGCCCCCGTCCTCCGCGCGACGCCCTTGGGTGGGCGGGTCCCTTGCACGGCGGCCGCTGTACCGCGCGTGCGGGGCCTGCTACCTGCGTCTTAAATCTCAGCGGACCAAAGTGCTGTGCTACCTACCGCCCCTCCCACCTGCGCTCCAGACGCAGCAGCAGCAGCAGCAGCAGCAGTGTGGCCTGCGTTTGCAGACAGACCCCCCTCCCCCGCCCCCGCCACGGGCTCCGGGTCGCTGTGGTCTTCGCGGCCGGAGGCTCCATCTCAGCAGACACGGTTTCTGGAAGCGTGTTACCAGCGGCGCCAGCTGCGGCGGTCCGGCCCCCGGGGTGAGGGTTCCAGCAGCGAGGCGGGGTGTGGGGGGAGAGCGGCAGGGGTGTGTGCAACGCGCAGGCCGGGCGCGGGGCCTCTGAGAGCCTCCCCGGCCAGAGGTCCGCGTGACAAGTCTGGACGCTCCTGGGGAGGGACGCCCGAGGCCGAGGGCGCCCCCCCCCCCCGGGACACCTGCCGGGGCGCCGCCCTTCCTGCGGCCGAGGGCCCCGGCGCAGGGCTTGGAGGCGGGGGCGAGGCGCGCCGCGGGCCCCGGGGGCGTCGGTCGGTCGGTCCGTCTTCACCGCGCCGAGCGCCGCAGGCCAGGCCAGGGGTCCAACTCAGCAGGGCGCTTCCGGGAGGGAGCGCCCCGCCCCCGCCGCGCTCGGTCCGTGCGGCGCGGGGTCGCCCACCCTCCTGGGGGGGCGCACGGCGACTTTCCTCCGGGACGCGAAGGCCCCGCCGCGGCTCAGACCTTGTAGTAAATGTTGGCCGGGCTCTGCGGGGGCATCTCCTGGACTATGTACACCGGGTGCCCGTAGTCCCCGCTCACCTTCTCGTAGTGCGGGCAGAAGACGCTGTCGGCAGTCCGCAGCGGGATGATGATGTCGCTGGGCTCCGAGCCGCCCGCGCCCGCGCCGCGCTTGGGCGTGGCCAGCGTGCTCAGCGACAGCGCGGCCGCGTGCTGCGGCGAGTGCTTGCGCTGCCGCCGCCGGTACTTGAGCAGCAGCACCACCAGCGTGACGATGATGACGATGAAGATGATGCACCCGGACGCAATCCCGGCGAATAAGGCCACTTCGGAACCGAGGATGTTGTTCCCCGAGTGCCCGGCGCTGCTGCCGTCCGTGCTGGGACCTGGGAGGCGGGAGGGGGGAGGGCGGCCCGGTTACTGCTGTCCCCGCTCGATGACCCCCCCCCCGCTCCCCGGTGCCCTGCTGCGCACCCCGGCAGGGCGCGCGACGGCCCCCGGAAGGCGGTGCGGAAGGGACCTGGGCTCGGCCTTGCCCACCGCTCCCGACCACGGGGTCGCTGTCCGTCCCCCTCGGGGACAGGCGGGACACGTGGGACAGGCGGGGACATGTGGGACAGGCGGGGACAGGGGGGACAGGCGGGGACAGGCGGGTACACGTGGGACAGGCAGGGACAGGCGGGGATGGGGGGACAGGCGGGGACACGTGGGACAGGCGGGGACACGTGGGACAGGCGGGGACAGGCGGGACACGTGGGACAGGGCAGGGACACGTGGGACAGGCAGGGACAGGCGGGGATGGGGGGACAGGCGGGACACGTGGGACAGGCGGGGACAGGCGGGGATGGGGGGACAGGCGGGACACGTGGGACAGGCGGGGACAGGCGGGGACGGGGGGACAGGCGGGACACGTGGGACAGGCGGGGACAGGCGGGGATGGGGGGACAGGCGGGACACGTGGGACAGGCGGGGACAGGCGGGGATGGGGGGACAGGCGGGACACGTGGGACAGGCGGGGACAGGCGGGGATGGGGGGACAGGCGGGACACGTGGGACAGGCGGGGACAGGCGGGGATGGGGGGACAGGCGGGACACGTGGGACAGGCGGGGACAGGCGGGGACACGTGGGACAGGCGGGGACACGTGGGACAGGTGTGAACAGGCGGGGACATGGGGACAGGCGGGGACAGGTGTCACAGGTGGGGGCAGGCCCCCCGCCCCCCTCCCCCGGGCTGCGGGCCCCCCCGGGGCCAGGGCTGACCGTCCCTGCGCGTCCCCCCGCCCCCTCCGGGAGCCAGCCCCTGGGCCTCTCTCGCCGCCTCCTTCCTGCGGCCCAGCCCGGCCTGCTGTGCGCCGAGGGGGCCATCGCGCCCCGGGAACACGTGCCACTAGTAACTCGTTTGTATTATGTGATTTACACCTAAAATACATTGGGAAGGCGGCAGAAACTCTCACAGACCGGCTGCCAAGCCCACTGAGAAGCACTAAGGAGCTGCCTGGCACCATTCGATTATCCGATTATCCATTTACCGGTTCGTGGTAAGAATTTGACACATCTTGTCCCCGAAAGCTAGGAACACCTCCCCTCCGCAATGTCTGCAAAGAGGGGACAGCGGCAGAAGGTGGCCGCACCCCCGCGCCCAGCCCCTCACGAAACACCGCTCACTCGGCCCAGCAGCAACCACATAAAAATGTCCTGAGCACGGAAACAAGTGCGGAGCTCTCCGCTCAAGGGCCGTTGTGAGAATGAACTTCAGTGGCGGGCAGCTTTATCTGGAATCCTAAACTTCGGGCAGGGAAGCGATGGCTATTTTATTTTAGGCTGAACCAAAAATGTCAGCCGTAACCACCTGAAGCACACGGCATGATGCAAGTTTTTAAGATGTCACCACCTACAATGCAGAACAGGCTCCATCAGGCTCTTTGTGGATTAGACGCAATTAGGTGAGGGATTAGGACGTTAATTATATCTACATTAACGTCGGCTCTACGCTGCTGTTGCAACAGGCGCGATTAAGTGTCACCAATAAAAAGAACTTCGGTCTGAACGATGACTGGTGCTCCTAACTGGCACTCCCATCTGCTGAATTCTACTCTCCTCAATGGGAGACTTTTGTGGGAATGCGTGATTTTGTTCTGATGGAGCAATTAATAACAAGCACCTGGGAGCAAAGAACATGGACTTGGGGAACTAGCAGTCAGTCTGTTCCCCTGGCGTCCAGGTGCTTGGATGCTGCTCTGCCTCTCGCGCTCGGACACACGCAAGCCGCCGTACCTGGATTTGGTTTGACGAAGGGACTTGTCGTTGAACTTCTTCCATTTGTACCGGCTTCTAGCTCTGGGCGTCGTGTCGGATCGTTGTGCCTGGTGGACCCAGCAGAACTCGCATCTATATGAGGAACAAATGATTACTTACGGCCCAGACACCTAACGAGATCTAGCCCTCAGAGCTGCCGCACGTAAATCTCAAGAGGCACAGACAGCAATGAACGTGAGAGATTCTTTATGCAAAGTGCTGTGACATACAAGAATAGAATCTTCCTTTTAAAACGGAACGGTGCTACTGGTTATGTCAGAGGTTTAGATCGTGAGGCCATCTGTGGAAACCGTAGGGATTCTTGCATTTGGCAGGCAGAGCATTGCAGATGACATTTCAATTTAAACGAGCAAGTTGACTGACTACGATCCCAATTTCTAATTAGAAGAATAAATCTTTCTGCACAATAGGTTATCTGTGTGTGAACAGGCTCAGTGAGCTAGTCTTCTGTACTCAAGATGCAGAAATGGGCCAAATGGTAAGAAACCTAAGTTTTCACTCTGGGTCGCTTAATGTTTTTTTGAACCAAAGAGGTGTTTCGCTTTTATTAAGAAAAAAAAGTGTGTACAGAGATATATCTACACACACATGGCAATGGACATTGTACCTGGCTGACCTTAACCGTGAGAGGGAACTCCAGTAAAAGAAGTTTGTTCCACTGACTTGAGGGAATCTGTCAGGGGCTCAAGGTGCAGAGAAGGATGTGTTTTCAAAACTAGGCTACGAGTGCGTGAAGGTGGGCGTTCACGGCCTCGGTGCCACGCTCGCTGGGGACTCAACCAGATAGATTATGGTGACTTCGTGGAGCAGCGGATGGTCTTTACCTTGTCCAACTTTCATGAGGATCTTCATGGCTCTTGTCTGGCACACCCCTCCCTCCTGGTTATCCAGGCCCTCCAAAGACCCATTTGATGTAGCTGATCGAAAATAAAATGGACAAAACAAAAAAATAAAGAAAAATCAGGAACTCAATAAGCCAAGTTTACATGAACATGAAATGTCTGAAAACAATTTGAAAAATAAGAATTCACTCTTAGTCACAGGTTTTCGGAAAGTATGGAATGCTGAAAGCCAACAAATAAAAAATAAAGAAAATAAAGAAAAATGGATCCTGTCAACACCACTGCACGCGTGCTATCTGCGTTCAAGTTTACTTAAGTGCCTTCTCCTCCCTTCAGTATCAACTGATTTGGGGCTAGTCCATACATAAAAGGGACAGGATCTTCCAGAAAGCTTACTATTTCGGGGTCAGCCTCAAAAGAGCAAAATAGTTAATACAGTAACTTTAAAACATCGTAATCACCGCTCAACACCTGCTTCCTCTACAACAGATTTCCTGCCTCGAGAACAATTAGCTCGGTGCTCCCCGTTTGCCAAGCATCCAAGTTCGGTAAACACTGAGAGGAGACTCCCACACGCCCTCTTCTTTCCCCACCTTATGTGAGATCAAGAAGTATGTTAGGATTCAGGTCTTCAAATTCTAAAGTTTTTTCTCCATCGTTTTTGCCCTGGACCAGAAATGATAAGTGTGGTATCAGTACCAAGACCGACCTTAGACAAACTCTTCAACCAAGCTACACGCCGGACGACAGCTTGACCGACAGAGGGGAACCCACGTGCCCTCTGCCAAGGCAGGGCCCTGGGGCAACCGCAGGGTCGGAGGGGAGGCTGTCTAGCAGTCACTTGCCTCCTGTTTCCCTGCTAGATTCCCTTCCCGCTTCAAGAAGGAGGAGGACAGGACGTGTGACCAGTGTCGGTAAAACAGCCCATGCTCTACTGCATTTAAACACATAGTCGTTCTGCCTCCTTAGGATGGTGAGTTTCTCTGAATGGCGTTGTAACTAAAGCTGTAAAAAGACAGGCTGCCAGGTACTCTGCTGAGGAAGAGGATTTAAATCGCAGGTCAAGTTCCAGAAGAGAAAGAAGGTGGAGAATGCTAGACATTTCCATCACTCCGAAGTTAAAGGGGCAAGGCACAGAAGTGTTTCATATACGTTTCTGCGCCGTAAATAATTCTCTACTCTGATTATCAAAGGCTGGTCTACTAATGCTGTACTTTTCAAAGCCCGGAAATAGGGCCAGAATTTCTGGTAAAAATACATCCAGAGGCACTCTCTTAAGGGGCTGTTTGTTTTCCAAATGGTCGATCGGCAAACAAGGTCTACATGCACACACAGAAATATGTGCGCTGCAGAGAATGTTCCTGAGTTACAACTTTTACTTTCACTGCTTTCCTTAAAAACAATGGCTGCTTCTTGTGTATAAATATCTCGTTGCTTATCTGAGTGTTTCCTTAAAGTTTACAGTCGTAAGAATCATACCTCACTCCTCTGCTGACACTGGCACCGAGTTTCTCGCGGGAAAACAGGCAGAACTAACCATAATCATTTTGGGGGTAAAAAGTAGACAGTATTCTCTTATAGATTGTTGAGAAAATGTTTGGCAGAGAAATTAAATAAAACAAATACCTAAAAACTTTAGATGGTTCTGTGAATCTAATAAGAAAAAATTGTTTTTTTCTTCCCCATGTCTCCAACCATTTTCTCTTTTCCCTCCTCCAGACAGCGTCCCAAATTTCTAAGTAACCTCTCCTCCCAAAGCCATAAAACAGTGGCACTGTTTGGGGGCAAGTGCAGAGCAATGCTATCATCTCCACTTCCTTATTTAAAGTTTTCTCACTTCTCGTTCTCAAAAATTAGGCTGTTTTCAAGGAGAAAATCCTGGAAAGCTGAGGTCAATGGCTTCAGAAGTTTAGTTGACTTAATTCAAATGGAATCTCCAGGTTTTCTGCGTGGTAGGCACATAGACGCACTCACACGCAAAGGTGCCCCCAAATGCACAGTGAAATGATCTCACTCTTTCTGGCTAACAGCTTAACAGACAGTTAAAAATACGATCTGAAGGGTGGCGCACAGAAAAGGGGGGAGGGTAGAGCTTTGTTTGTTCCAACCAGGAGCTGGTAAGTCAAAGATTCGGATCTGAAAGAAAACAACGATGACCCCCAGAATGGGTCTGACAAGCCGCGGAAGAAGAGTCACCGTGGAACAGAATTCAAACCTGCGTCCCCGGAGGTGAAAGCTGCTCACTGCTTCTACTGTGTCTGTCTGGAACCACGAGGGGTGCCCCTCGTTTGGGTGATTTTTTTCTTTCGATTTTACTTTGTAGGTCACGCCCTTTCTGAATACCAGTGCGTCCGTGCAGAGCGCCTGTTGGTGCGCCTTGAATGCTGTCCAAATCCCCCCCAGATGTAAAGAACTCAAAGTATTCAAATTAAACTGCAATCTGTAATTTAGCATCCAGGAACTGTAAGACGTAGGAAGAAAACTGTAGCAGGAGAATGAATCTGCTCTGCATCTTTAACAGTTGAAACTTTTTTTCTATTCCTTGGGAGGCGGAGAAGAGCCCTGAAGCCCTGAGTCACACGGAAGGAAATGGACGATTGTTGCTTTGCCTGGTTTTGGGCACCAGAGGTGGATGCTGGTCTGGGGGGGTGGGGGGAAGGGGAGGTGGGGGTGAAGGGGGAGAGTGGGCCAAGAGGCAGAAAGAACACTGTGATGTGCACTCCAGACTCTTGCTTTGTCCCCCTGAGTCAACTTGCAAGTTGCAAAGGTAGGACCAGAAGATATTCAAAATTCATTACTAATGTTAACATAGCGTCCCAAATACCTGGTTGTTTAAAAAGGGAAGATGTTCGCTGTGCAAGAGTTTTGCCCTTCCCTAAGTTAGGAATGACCTGAGCGGTCACGGAAAACCCGGTTGGAAGATGTCAGCAAGCAAAGGAAGCTTCAGAAAGTAAGCGTTTATAACAAGTGTAAAGTAAGTTAGAGTGACTTGCACTTATTTTATATTTGATCCTGTGATGAAAATTAACCTCAGTCTTCCCTACTACCTCCTCAGCAGGAAGCGGAGGGCATATGGTTCTCACTCTGGAAGCCCTCCTATCCCTTGCCTTGAAGGACACTGACAAGTGTGCTGTCCTGATCGCACTCCTCATGGCAGTAATCTCTGAAATTAAACCTCAAGATTAATCGTCTCATTTCTGCCACAAAACCCAGGCACTGAGAACCTTTAAAAGGTGTAGTAGCAGGGCGCCTGGGTGGCTCAGTCGGTTAAACGTCCGACTTCGGCTCAGGTCATGATCTTATGGTTAGTGGGTTCAAGCCCCGCGTCGGGCTCTGTGCTGACAGCTCAGAGCCTGGAGCCTGTCTTCGGATTCTGTGACTCCCTCTCTCTCTGACCCTCCCCTGCTCATACTGTCTCTATCTTTCTCTCAAAGTAAATAAAACATTTAAAAAAAAAAAAAAAAGGTGTAGTAGTGGCTCACTTTGGAAAACAAGAAATCCTTAATGCTTGGGGAGAACATCTAATTCCATTCCAGGAGGCAATCTTGCAATATTTTTCTATTGTTGATCTGAATGTATTAGGAATTTTTAACTTAGAGGGTAAAAATAAACCGTTACCTCATTATACTTAGTTTTTCTTTGTATCCACCTGCATTATCTAATGCTGCCACAATTAGGGTATTCCTAAGTAGATGAAGTTGCATTTAATCATTTGGAGACAGAAAAATAACCCTGTTATACCTAAGCTTTTAGTGCTCAGACATTTTTTTTCTTGGCCTAGAGAAAATATGGACTTTATAAAATTAAAAATTACTGGCAAAGTTTCTCTATCCAGTTAGAAAATAGGCTTAATAAAGATACATGGGCATTTTATAGCCTGCTTTTAAAAGCTTCTGCTTCAGGGATATAATTGCATGTAGTAAGTATACTGAAATTACCAGATTGTTCCCCTGGGGCCTGATTTCCAGTGGGTGGAGATCATTGCTCAGCAAAAAGTCCCCCGAGTTCACACCGCCTAAAAGTTCTTCTTCTTTTTTTTTTTTTTTAAATGTTTTTTTATTTATTTCTGAGAGAGAGACAGTGTGAGCAGGGGAGGGTCAGAGAAAGTGGGAGACACAGAATCTGAAACAGGCTCCAGGCTTCTGAGCTGTCAGCACAGAGCCCGACACGGGGCTTGAACCCACGAACTGTGAGATCATGACCTGAGCCGAAGTCAGATGCTTAACCGACAGAGCCACCCAGGCGCCCCGATACCACCTGAAAGTTCTTTGCTCTGAAAACCGCGCTGCCCATCCGTGCGGCTTCCCGTGAATTTGCACACGGACCCACCAGGCAGCTCTCATTCACGGGGGGCAGCGCACTGGTCATCCAAGGAGATGAACTAGTGAACACGACAGACTAAAGGAGCAAGAAGCTTTCTAGCCGCGCTTTCCAGGCTGTGCCCACGGAGAGGAAGTGAGAGGGCATCTTAACACCCCCATCTGACTGTTTCTGCCCTGCGTCCAGGGACTCCATGCTCCGCTGCACTGGCTCGGGGACATTTGCAGTCGATCAAGGCAGTGACATTGTGCTAATCAGATGGAGGGGTCCCTGCTGGGTTGGTGCATTCTGTGGGTCTCATTCACAAAGAGGTCGGCAATGAGAGCAGCACAAAAAAACTTCTCCAGGATAATGTAATACATAACATCACCAGGAAGGAATATTCTTGGCTCTTCTGGAAAGGATGAGAAAACACGCTCATACTACATGTGAACTGTGTGCAAATGTAGCTTCCTGGGATGGGTCCGGGAAGGTCCCTTATAGTCTTTATTCTTATTAGGAAACTGATCTTTGGGGGAGCCTGGGTGGCTCAGTCGGTTAAGTGTCCGACTTCAGCTCAGGTCATGACCTCACGGTTCATGGGTTCGAGCCCCGCATCAGGCTCTGTGTAGACAGCCAGCTCAGAGCCTGGATCTTGTTTCGGATTCTGTGTCTCACTCTCTCTCTGACCCTCCCTCGCTCATATTCGTCTCTCTCTCTCTCTCAAAAATAAACTATAAAAAAAATTAAAAACAAAAACAAAAAAATGAATAAAG